GGGATGCCAAGGAGAAGGAAGAGTCTCACAGATGGAGCTCACCAAAGATAGATCTGTTTAGGCTAGCAAAATGGGATTGAAAAGGGTTAACAGCTCTCTGCTGATAAGACGGTGCTAATGAGCAAAGATGGACAACTATGGAGTGTAAAGGATGATATTAGTGCAGAACAACTAGATATGAACCTTTTTCAAGTTAATTTAGGCTTCAGCATAGCAAGACTTGAAAAAGGATCTTGTTCATTGGAACTTTATTTATAATGCAGAGCATACACAACTTATAAAAACCTTAGACACAATTTCTCAGGAGGGCCAGGATTCAGTGACCTAGGTTACTAATCAGAAAACATAGTTAGATTGTTTCATGGTGGACATTAAAAGCATTGCTCTCTACAACTACCTGAAAGGAGGTTATAGCAAGGTGCAGGTCAGCCCCTTCTCCCAGGCAACTAGAGATAGGATGAGAGGATATAGCCTCAAGTTGCACCAGGGAGGTTCAGACTGGACATTAGGTATAATTTTTTCACTGAAATGGTTAAGCATTGGAACAGGTTGCCCAAGGAGGATGGTGGAGTCACCATCTCTGGAAGTGTTCAAGAAACACGTGGCACTTTGTGCTATAGTCTTGTTGACATGGTGGGGTTCAGTCAAAGGTTGGACTCGATGATTTTGGAGGTCATTTCCAACCTTAATGATCCTGTGATTTTCATAATCAATTACTCTAAACTGAGGATGGCCTTGCAGAAGAGGAAATAGGATTTCTTTGGCATCCCAGTCCCAGGAAAGTTGGAAACGGAAGGCACCAGAGTTGATGCCAAAATAATTTTATTTCTCAACACAGAGCACACTAGATTTTGACTTTTGGACTCAGAAAGTGAGAACTTTGTGGTACGTGGCAGCACAGAAGGAGTTCAGGAACTGTAATCACTGCAAATCATAAATTATGTCAAATTCTTGGTTATTGCAAAGCAAGTGTATCCAGAAGTACTCAACAAGCCTCTACAAAGGTTTATCCATATGGCTCCCATAAAACAATGTCCGTCTTTTTTCTTAGCAGGGTAATAGATGTTGTTAGGGATCAGTAGATAAATATTTATCAGCAGATAAATAAAAGGATCTTTGTTTAAAGAAAAAACCCAAAGCATGCTTTAAAAGCATGTTGACTGTCTCAGTAGCCACAAAGTGACATTTCTTCCAGCATTTAATTCAGGAAGCATGACTGACACTGTCGGCTGGAGTGCAGATACTACTTTGAACTAAGCACATGATCCCACTTCATTCACTGTCTCATAGCATTAAAACCACCTGTATTCTGCACTGAAGGAACAGTGACATACTGATCTAGATAATTTTACTTCTGAGCAGAGCAGATCAGTTCTGATCAGATTTTCACACTTAGAGGTCTGAGGAATTCCAGAACCAGAATGTGACCAAAACCTACAAGATTTGGCAGGGTTTTTTTGTTTGTTTGGTGTTTGAGTATTTTTTCTTGTGGGGGAGGTGTGGGGGCATAGGGGTGGGGCAAGGTGGGTAGGGAGTGTTGTTTTTTATTTTAAATACTCAGTATCCTGATTTTTGCACTTTTGGGATCAACTTACATTGTGATACACTGCCTGAACACCTGCAAAATGATCTTGTCAAAGTCTGAACCCACCATTTTCTGGGTTTCTGTACACTAGTACCTTATTCAGTTTTCTAGCCTTGATGTCTACAGAAATACCTCCACCTGCTTCATGTTTATGCCAGAGGACAGTTATCAGTATCACGCATTCTACTGAATCAGTTTCAGAACAAGAAATACTAAGGGGACTCTGGGTAGTCTTCCAAAAATCCTGTTAGTTTATCAACATAATTCTTGTACTAACAAGTGCCAGGGATTAAATCTAGTAATGCAAAGTATCTTTATTAACACTATATTGCAGGAAATTAATTTGTTTCCTGATCTGTGACTACTAGGCAAAGAATTATTTGCATTTCCAATAGCATCCCCCTTGGCTCTACTGTTTTCTGATAGCTGCCTCTAGATATCAGACATTTGCACATGCAATCCAAGCCTGTACTGGCTTTTCTCATGCACACCTATTTAGTGTAGAAACAAATAAATAAAAATGCCATATTCCTGAAGAAGGTATAGTTCCAACACTGGTTTTACTGTAGAGAGACCAATAGCTTCAGATAACTCCTTAAGGTGATGATGTTGTAGTCAAGGACTTCTATAAAATCATTACAGCTACAGTCTTAATTGTAATCCTACAGATTTAGCCATATATAGCCCTATAAATGTAGCCATAATCGTACTGGTCTTCTATAAAAAAGCCTGCACATCTGATGACACAGAGCTGGTACTCATAACCTCACCAACTACGAAAATACAAGGGAAAAAAAGGGACGTATTACAAATCACATCCCTGGATCTCCAAAGCACTTCAAAAAAATTTTCCTAGATCTACAATTACTCAATGTCTTCATTAATGGACTGAATTACAGAACATGCTTATTAAATATGCAGGCAACACTATACCGGGAGACTGGATTGGAATTCAGAACTTCGCAAATCCATGAGAAGGGTCTGAAAAAAGCAGGATACATTTCTCAAAACGTAAGTGCAAATTTCTCTGGTAACACTAATTGCAAGTCAGAGAATGATAAAATGGCACTAGAAACTGCAGGAAAAGATCTAGTGGCTGTGACAACCCACAAACCAGCAATGAGTCAGAGTTATCAATCTACTGCAAAAAGGAGCCCTTAGTAGGGTGTATAAATAGAACGAACCCTTCTCTCCAAGGAATGTGAAATAAACTCTTTATGGTGCTGCCAGTGCCATAGCTGAGTGCTGTGTGGAGTTTTGCATGGGATCCACCCGGAGAAACCAGGGACAAGTGAACATTGCTCTAGAAAACATGGCCATGAGGAAGAGCTGATTGACAGGTAAGTTCAACCCAAAGCATTGCTCCTGACACTGGAGGTGTGAACCATCACGCTGAGACATGCTGTCTGGCCTAGAGTCTGTATTGTCACTGCACAAGTTGGTAGTGAGAGCCTGGGTGGAGGCAGCACAATACAGCAAAGGAAAGCAAATACTAACTTGTGAGGATGGGAAAGAGGGGTGAGTGTATACACACACAAGTAGCAAGCAGCAGCAGCAAGGCTTTTTCCAGACTCAGGTGGGGACCTACCAATTTAGAGCAGAGGTAGGAAATGGAGCAATATCCCCGAGTATAAGCATACACAGCCAGATGTCCTTCATCATCAGAGGTTTAAAAATGTGGATTTCACAGTTTGAGGCTCCCTTGGAGCTCGGACAGATGAACACACATTTCAAGGAATCTTTTATTTGCTATTACTATTATTCTCTTCCTCAATACTACCCTGCAAGTTTGGTAGCATGCTATTCGGCTCTCTTATGGATTGCTACAAAGGCCTCAAACTGCTAGCATGGATCTAGGCAGCACTTCAAAAGAAACAGTTCCCCTTTTAATACATTCCAGCTCATTATTAGCTTTCATTTTTGTTCTAAGAGACAGATTTCTTACTACATGACAGCGCAAATGAAGCAAAATGTTCCTCTTTCTCCACAGATAAATTTAGGAGTCACATATGCTTCATAAAAGCTCCAGATATTCATTGGTAACATTCAAGGGCTTTGTCATTTGTTTTGAAGAGACAAACCTCATCTACAACAGTTATTGTAGTGATAATGGCCAAATCCTCATTCATTGGTTTAGAACTACATTCCTGCAAACTTGTTACAATTTTCTTCATGGTTCAAATACCTTCTGCTTTTTCTTTTTTAAATTGTAATAACTAGTGTTCCCTAATGGTAGTTTGTCCACTGCCCTCTATGACTTTGCAAAAACTCCTCTTTAGTGGCAGGAGTGCTGAGGTCCACGTTTTTTGGTACAAACTGGAAAGCCTGCATACAGCAAGCTTGTCCCTGCTTGCTATCATGAATTCCATAACTGTTGAACTCAACTTCATGGTTTTAAGTCCTCTTGGACAAGCTGAGGTCACAAGAGAAATGACCCATGGCAATCTTATGTGGTTTAACAAGATTAAGTGCAAGGTGCTGCACCTGGCTTGGGGAAACCACTTATCAATACAGGCTGGGGGATGAACAAGTCAAGAGCAGCCCTGCCAACAAGGACTTGTGGGTGTTGGATAGCTGAGAGCTGGACATGACCCAGCAACATGTGCTTGCAGCCCAGAAAGCCAAGACTTTACATTACCTGCAGCACATAGAGTAGTATTATGTTTCTCTCCAGTGAGATAGGGAAAAAAGACATACATACATTTATACATATTTATTGTATCTTTTTAAAAGTAGCATTTGCAGTTACTTTTAAGCATTCACCTCTCTTCTGCTTCAAATGTGCACTTATTGAGAGAAACATCTACTGGCTTCCAAGTCCAAGATTAATACCGATAATAATACATGCCAGAATCAAGTTTCATTGCTTGCTGGCAGCTCCTGTCATGAAAATATTATACAGTAAGAAGAGTGTAGAAAAGGTCTGTGTTCTTCGTTCAGTGATAGGCTGGGGCTGGATTAGCGTGACCATACCATCTTCTCCCGCTGAAGCACAAGAAAACTTTTCCTGAAAACTGAAGCTCACAACTTTTTTCCTTTTGCATCCAGTAGGTGGACAAGGCAGTTGTTTTTTCTACAGTAGCTTCTTAAGTTGATAAGGTTTCCCATCATCTACAGGAAAACACTTGCTGTAGACCTTTATATTTAGAAATGTCTTCTCTTCACGTAACAGCAGGAAAATACTTGAAGTCTGGCATGTAGTTAGGAGAATTGGGAACAAACCAAATTTCATCCTCAGATAAACATACGTAACTACTATAGATTTCAATCTAACCCACACACAAAGTTTTACACATACTACAAATAGAAACAGAAGGTATCAGCAAAAGACTATTCTTACATTGTTTCAAATTAATTTGCAACTATACAATTTTAACTGTAATAGAAAAAGGGAAGGAATATAACAGAACAGGTATGAAGAGAAATATTTTCCAAACTTTTATTTGTGCACATTCATTAGGTGAAAAAGATAACTTTTACAGCTTCTTTGGTGCCCAATATTCAGCATACAAAAATGTAAAATATTCACAAATAAAACACAAGCTCAAACTAAAAAAAAATAATGTTTTAAAGGTAGTGCACATCGTGACAGCTTTGCTTATGAATACACAGAAATTACTGCAAAAATAAATAGAATGTCTTTTTAAAAGCAGCAATTTCATATCTTGTAAACTTCCTTTTTTACAATACAGCACTGTTAAGAGTAAAATCCAAAAGAACTGGAGTCTATACTGTGGCCATGAGCAAGTAAAAGAGTCTGTATTCCTCTGCTATGGTTGGTCCAGTTTTCTTTTTTGCTTTTAGTCCAATGTGCAGCAGTCTTTAAAGGTGCTTGGTTAGGGAACCTAACCATCAAGTGGTGAATTATAAAATTTACTTCCTGCTTTCAAACACGAATGGGTAAATCTGTTCCACAGCACTGGCAACAGCCTTTACGTTTGGCCCTGAGACATATTAAAAAACAAACAAACAAAAAGGCAGTAGGAAGAGAAAAATCAGGGAACTGGAAACAAAAACAACAACAGTATCTTTAAAATAACCTTAATACTTTCAGCTATCATCATTTTATACTGTAGACAAAAGTAATTTTTCCCCATTTAAGAAGGTGTTTCTCTGATCACTTTTACTTGCAAGAAAGGACTTTCATGTGAACTCTGCAAGATGTTCTACACTGGCCAATGACTAGGCTACAAATACATAATACTGTCATTTAATTTCATAACAACTTGGACGCTTTTCAATTTACTGGCTTAAACAGTCCAGAGGAGGGGCAGAGGCTGAGTGGCAGAGGTAAAATAAATACTTTCACTTATGCTAATCTTCTAGGAATTTGTATTTCTCAAAGCCTAGACACTTTTAGCTCTTGTTTTAAAAACCTGTCAGCAAAAACTACTTCTAAATAATGCTGGATTTAACCTAAGTATGTTTCAAACAAGGTTTGAAAATTATAGACTTTCTAGTCTGGATTTTGCAAATAGCTTCATCACTGATCTCAGGACAAAACCTGCAAGCCAAGGTTTGTTGTCTCAGGACAAAGCATACGCAGGTTAACAACACGATCCATGAGCATCAGGGGAAAGAAAAGGAAGAATGACCTAGCAATGCTTTCTAATGGTACTAGATGATTTTTGCAAAAAAAAAGTTAAGACTGCAAATAAGTGAGCAGTGACATGCCAAAAGATATTAACTCTGGATAAAAATTTGGTGATGCAGATAAATGAGAGCAGCAATTTCTCATGTGCTTTGATGACTGTGAACTCAGGGTTTTTTTTAAACTCACTTTAGACTTCAAAAGTTTCTTCCAAGTATAAAGAACTGTTCAAAACTGCTCCGAAAACTGGTAGCTTAAGTATAAATTACTTAAGTAATTTATTGTATTACATGCTCAGTCAGAAAGCAAATGGACTAGAATAGGATTCTTCCTGTATTTTCAAACTTGATGAGTTAAGCACTCACCTAATACAAGCCTGGTGAAAGATACCTGTCATCCAGGCAACTACTGCACTCTGAAATTGGCTGCTATTACAGAAATGAAACTTCTAGAGAAAGCCCTCAGAAAGTGACAGTATGAGTAAGCAAATAGTTCTAGTAAAAAAAAAAATGCTACTCTCTCTAAGGCTGAAGAGATGGCAAAACCAGATCATCATTGTAGGCCATATAAGAGAAGGAAAACCAAACCAAACCAAAACCCCAGAACAACCCCTCATTGCTCATTTTGGAGGAAAAAAATTAGTACTTCCTTCTATTACATGCCAGTGATTTTTATTTTTTTTAATCAATGTAACTAATTCTTTTTATATTAGTCCTATTAAAAGAACTCACATTCCTCATTTTTTTAACATTTCTAATTATGTATCTCAAATAAAATTCTTTGAGTCAGTGGCATGACAAGTACTAGTACTACAAAAACATGAATCTTCAAAAGGAACATCATCTGAACACACTTGAGAATGAGTACAGTAAGGCTGAAAAGTAATTTCAAAGATTTTAGAATAAGAAGCATAAGACTCTGGACATGTTTTTTCCCCTAGAAGAAAGGCCTATGCAAAACAGAAGCCTTCAAAACCAACAGAGGTCTGAGATATTTCAAACTCACTGTAACAACTAAACCAAAAGAATGCAAAACTTTGATGTTCCTCTATTTACCTTCATATTTGAAAGGACAATTCTGAAAATAGGAAAGCAATTTTGTCCTGTTTATGAAGTAATAAGAATCTTACAGAGAAGCTGAATCTCATTAGGAGGTTGACAAAATATGCTAAGAGATTTTATTCCTTCAGTGAAACTAAGACTTCTTATTTATTTTAAATTTAGTTTCTAGTTTTGGCTAGACAAGTTGCTGTGTTCAGAGCATATACTACAATCCTGAAATACATTTTAGCTCTTTTAATTTCAGATTACCAAATCTGATGAAGTTTATCTTCTTTACAAAACATTTCTCCCAATATCTTGTGAGAAACATTCCCCATAAAGCCTAGATATTTACTGAGGAATCAAGATGTGAAAATAAAACTATCCCTACCCAACTTCTGAACCAGCAGCTGAGCTCTAACAACTGCAAGACGTTAATTCCTGCTAAAGTGATTAAAAATCTTTTTTTTTTTGGTTCTGTACCATTTTAACATATATTCTCTGAAAAACCTGACTTCTTGTATCTGGAAACTTGTGGTGGACACCTCACAAGCAAATAGAAAAGAGAATGAAAAATGGTAATTAGGAGGAAAGAGGAAAAAACATGGCATGGCATCTCCAAGACCCAGGACAATCATGTCTCTGATTACATGGCAAAAATCACTGATGCCTGTGATTCAGTAGTGGTTCCCTCAGTTGACCTTTAATAGAACAGAGTCCAAGTCTGAAGAACTGCAAGTACTGGTCAACTTCATTTATGACAAAATTCATGCTATCCTGTAAGCTTCCATAATCTCCAGTTTGAAAACATGCATTTATGAAAGGGATGTTAATGCTACATGCAGTGTAGTTTATAGCACTACAAAGATAAAAAAAAGGAAGAAAATTAAACTATTTAAATAAACAATAAATATCTGCATTGTTAAGTCCTATCTCACTTTTGTTGTTCAAAAAACTCCAGACTATATACATTTGATCTAGGTAACTTCTTAAGCCTACTAATAGTAACACTCTACAATTCTTCTGGCACTTTCATTCAAAACCAAACGAGGTGCTAGTACTGGGAAGCAAAATCCTTTCAACATTATCTTTTGACTGTTTTACATGTCTTACTTGCATAAACCTACTGGCCCTAAAGTTAAATATTCCCAACAAGTTAAATATTTTTTGACATCCAAATACCTGTAACTGTGATACTGCCTGTGGAAAAAATCTGTAAGGTAGCTCTGAGAGATTTTATTCTGTAACACACGGCAGGATGAAGTTCTGGTTCATAACTAGAAAACAAAATAAAAGGTAAAAAAAGATAGATCTAGAACTGAAAAATAAAAGCTTAAAAAGTACACCAAGATTACAATTCTTTAAAATCCTACCATACCTCGCATGAGGTCTGTTATTCTTCGTAAATTCTGGCAATCTGATCTCAAAGGGCATGTTGCACACTGCTAAAACATTCACAACTTTAAAATCTGTGAAAATTACCTTTTCAAAAGAGAGAGAAAAAAATACATTAGAAATTCAGTTTACAGTAAGAAGGATTTTGATGAAATTTCAAAATTAAAACCTTGTGACTGATGCTTTGCTAATAGGCATCTAAACAGTACTTAATGGACTGAAATCGTTTACATTATCCTCCTGTGGTGGAATAACTTGAATCAGATACCTCACAGTTGTATCACATAGTTATAGACTCATAGAATCATCAAGGTTGGAGGAGACCTCTAGGATCATCAAGTCCAACTATTAACCTGACACTCTGCTGTAACCCTGAAACCATATCCTCCAGTGCCAGATCTAGACACCTCTTACATGCTTCCAGGGATGGTGACTCCACCACCTCCCTGGGCAACCTATTCTAGTGCTTGACCACCCTAAGAGGGGAAAAATTTTTCCCAACATCTAATCTGAATCTCCATCTCATCTTATGACCATTCCCTCTAGGCCTCTCACTGCAGGCATGGCAGAAGGGACCATTCCCCACCTCTCTACAACCCCCTTTCAGGCAGTTTTAGAGAGCAATGAGGTCACCCCTGAGACACCTCTTCCCAAGGCTAAACAAACCCAATTCCCTCAGCTGTTCCTCATACAACATGTTTTCCAGACCTTTATGAGCCTCATTGCCCTTTGCTGGACTCTCTCCGGTGCCTCAATATCCTTTTTAAAGTGAAAGGCCCAAAACAGAACACAGTACTCGAGGTGTGGCCTCACCAATGCTGAGTACAGGGGGATGATCACTTCCCTAATCCTGCTGGATACACTATTCCTGATACAGGCCAAGATACCATTGGCCTTCTTGGCCACCTGTACACACTGTTGGCTCACACTGAGCTGGCTGTCCACCAGCACTCCCAAGTGTCTTTCTGACAAACAGCTCTTGAGCCACTCCTCCCCCAGCCTGTAGCCTTGCATGCCTTGCATGGGGTTGCTGTGTCCCAAGTGCAGGACCAACACTGAGCCTTATTGAACCTCATGCAGTTGTCCCCAGCCCACTGACCAAGTCTGTCCAGGTCTCTCTGTAGAGCTTTCCTACCCTCAGCAAGTCGACACTCCCACCGAACTTAGTGTTGTCTGCAAATTTGCTGAGGGTGCACTCAATCCCCATGTCCAGATCATCTATAAAGATGTTAAACAGGACCAGCCCCAGTAATGAGCCCTAGGGAACAGCACCAGTGACTGGCTGCCAATTGGATTTAGCTCCATTAACTACAACTCTCTGGGCCTGACCATCCAGCCAGTTTTTTACTATCCAAGAGTCCACCCACCCAAGCCATGAGCAGTCAGTTTTTCTATAAGTATGCTGTGGGAGACTGTGTCAAATGCCTTCCTGAAGTTCAGATAGACAGATACTATGGTTTAAGAATGAGACAGAGAAGTAACTCTTACTACTGTACTAAATGCCTCCACGCTGAAAAGAAACTAAATTTAATAGCTCATGGAACACCAAAATAAGCAGAGAAAAAGCTTAAATTTCATTAAAAACTTATTTAATGCCTTGTTGCTGCACAGCATTTTTATTAAAGCTAAGAATAAGGAAAGAGGTAAAAATTGTTTTGCATGAAATATCGCCTGGTCAGTGCAGCAAGCTGCTTTTCTAGCCTGTAACATTTTCTGAAACTCAACTCAAACTTTGTTATTCTTTACCATAGACATTTTAGATGACTATAAAATAGCCAGCAGACAACTCATATACAAACAAATGCACTGCTAAGAAGTCAGTGTTGGCAATATCACTAGGGAAACTTTTGCTCGTTTTCTGAGATTGCCTAAACTTAAAATGGCCATTCTGCAGTCTAAACATTTTAGAAAGGTATTAGTGTAGACACAACTTAGCATTATAAAAGGTCAACTATCAATTTAATCTTCAAAATATAAACAGCTCACTTAGTTGTAAAACTTGATGTACCCACCCTGGAAGCACTGTTCACCTCACTGGCTTAATGTTCCATTCCAGCTTTAAGAGGCTGAGTCTAATGTGCACATTTAAAACAGTGTCAAACTTCTGCTGGGGTCTGATGCAGCATTACCAGGAGAGCCTGTTGCCACTGCCTTTATGCACTACAATCAAACAGAGTCTCTCCCTGAAAAGCATGATCACTCTGTCTATTTAATAGTCTGTCCCAAACTGAGTCTGTGGGTAAACAGCACAACAGACTATGAAGAAGTTTTAGAGTACTAAAACATGTTATTTTAAGTCATTCAAGTTGCTGGTTTTCAACCCTTACTAAGAAATGCAAATGGTGTTTTTGACCAGTAAGGTTAACCCAAACCCAGAAAAAAAGAGGGGTCTCCCCTTTTTTTCATCAAGATCCTAAGTATTTCATTTGGCTTATTTCCTTATGTGCAACCTGACAGTGCAGAAGCACTTTTTCTCCTCCCTCTTTAATTAAAGAGGCTCCAACTTGCCCTCATCAAGTTGGAAATGTATTTGCTAGTCTGTCAGAAATGGGTGAAAATTATGTTCAAATGACAGTAAAGTTTATACACTTCAGCACTTTTTCCAAATGAATCTTTCAAGATACTGTAAATTCTATCCAAGAAACATCTGTGGGTGGTTCATTTATTGAACAAATTTTGTTGTTCATTATCCAGTGAAGAAGCACTACTGCGAGCTGCCAAACAAAACTCAAATCCACAAACTAAAACAGCTTCTCTTTAACCGGCATCTGGAAAATGTATGCTGACACAAAAGGGGCATGAGTGAAAACACACTCCCTGCTAAACTGTTGCGCTCCCTCACTGTTGTTCCTTTCTAAAAGAAATAATTAACTGCAAGCATTGCTTGAGACATACAAGTGCTTTTTCATCAAAATTACCTGAAAACCTAGTTTCTGTAGACTACGAGCTAATCGTCTGGCACCAAATTTAGCTTCTTCTTCACTATAAAGGAGAAAGAAAAGAATCCAGCATTAACAGAAATACAGCATATATTTGTGTGCACACATACCACAATAGCTACTCAGACTACAAATGAACCATTTTATAATGTGGCACATGAACCATGGTCACATGGACAGCCTTCACTTTATCCTACTGTTTGTATTACATTTTAACTATGTAAATATTCAAATGGAGTCCTTTATGCTCTGTTTGACAACAACCTTGGCACTTGGCTCCAGCTGAAGTGGGAGACATATTTTGATCATACATGATTCTGAGTACTCTTAAGAGACAAGTAAGATCATGGGTAGTCTGGAGTTAACATCCCAATCATCTTCCGTTTTGAAACAGAGATCATATATGGAAAGTATGCAAATTTATTATTCTGCCTTATCCTTACTCCACAATACAGACATATCTTGAAGGAATTCAGCTGTGAAGAGTTTAGCAAGTCTCAGATGTATCTGTGAGTCTGTTTTCGCTTCTTTTCAGTCCCTCAACACTGTATAACTTGATTAAACTCAGGTGGGTCTTTGTGAAAGAATAACAGATATCCCTCAAAAAGGTCATCCCTTCCCAAGTCTCAAGTTCTGGCTAAACATACAGAATTCTTAAAGACTTCCCAAATCTCTCCAGGATTTTTTTCATAATGCAGTTTTCCCTGCTGCTCTCCCAAGAAGGCTGAACTGATGTTGCTTAAGATTTCAACAGGATCTGAGGCAGACACTTCACACAGAAGACTTCCTCCCAAATATGTAGCTTGGCAAGGATCTACACATGATCCAGTGTGAGTGAAACTCAACAGTGGCAAGTACCATATCTCCATTTAGAACATATATTTTAAAATGTACAAGAATTTACAGCTAGAGAAAGAATCTCCATAAACTCACCTTGTGGCTCCTGTGCAAATAACTTTTCCTGAGGACCAAATTGTGGCCGTAATCCTAGGTTTCCTAAGCTTCATTAAAACCTTCTAAAAAGAAAAATGGAAAATTGGGAATTAGCAGTAGTTCGATTTCATATTGGAAAATGTTTTTAACTGTTACACTAAGACTTCCTTTATTTTTGGTAGTCTTGAACTGCTCCTTCATCTCTTTCAGTAATTAAAAGTAAAACAGCTCCTGAGAAGAGCAAAATAAGCATAGAATATCTCAGCCAGTGATTCATTGTTCAGAAAATAGATTAAATGAAGGTCTTTTTCACTGAATAAAAAGCTGAAAGCCATGAGCATTGTGCTGATTTTCTATTATTATTGTGACTTGACATCGCTGACTCCTTATCAAGATACATTTTCTTGACAAAGTCATCAAATTTTGGGAGGCAAAACGGACCCTGAGGTCTAGGAGTTCTCATCACATACCTTATACCCAATACTCATCTCACTAGTTACAGTCTGCTGAGACTACTCACTCCCCTTACTGTACATTTAGTGTATGACTGGCTAAATACCTATTGAGACAGAAATAAAATCTCTGCTTTTCTCTATCCACCACACACAGGTATCAGGCAGAAGGATGCTTAGCTTAGGAATATTTCTAAAAACAAGTAACTGAGGTATGCTGAGTCTCTTACCCCAACATCACGCTTGTATATCACATTCGCTCCCTCTAATGCAATCTTCCTCAAGTTTAAGTGACATCTTGTTCTAAAAACACACACTACATTTGTGATTAAAATGTCCAGTGCAACATCACTGTCCGCATCCATTGGGGTGATTTACGACTCAGTTCTCCCACCAGCTCACCACGAAGATCACATCCTGAGAAACAAAAATAATAAATTAAACATACCAGTAGAAAATTGCCTATTAATGCCATTCGTCCCTTGTAAGAGACAAGAAGCAGAAGTGACTACATTGATTTATTTATCTGTGTGTGGGGAGGGGGAGTGTCTGCAACTTGTATGCTAGAAAATAAGAGGTAACTTCTTCGAACCCACGTTGTCAAACTTAACAGGTATGAAGTGTACATACATATATATATACACATATATATAAGGATATTTAAAATTGCCAGTTAAATATTACAATTCTTACTAACTATATGAGGATACTATAAAGATTACTGAAACTTCTTCCATAGCTCCAATGGATAATCTTTCCTCAGCTCATTTGAGGATGTCATTAGACACCTCAGAAAAACGCACTTCTCTGACAGCTGAAGTTGATTAATTCGAACAGCTTGTTGGTTGTGCTGGAATGGGTGAGCCTGTGAATAACTTGGAACTAACACAGGTTACACAAACTGCCATCTGTAGATGACCTGCTATCACAGTTTTCCCATCTTCATCCAGCACTCTTGGCCTCTCTCACCCAATAATAACAGCATAATGCAAACTATACAAAATGTCCTGATGGCAGCAACAGCCTGGGCTGAGCTGCAGTGTCCTCTCATTCCTTTCTGCACTGCCCAGGAACCGAACAGAACGAACACATTGTACATGCAGAGTAAAATTCAGTGTCTGTGAGGAAAAGCAAGCGAAGGCACAGGATGGCTGCCCAGTGCATGCCCAGCAAACTTAGGCAGTCAGGAAGCATCCAGGCTGCCCATGCACATTGCCAGTGACACTCCTCACACACAGCTCAACTGAGAAAGAATCCTAAGACCAGGAGTTGGGCTACCACTCATCCCACCCCAAGAATGCCCGACATCTCTTCTATAAGCACACCAAAGCCAAGACAGCAGACATCTCAAATAATTATCAGGTGAAGAATGCAGGGAAAGGAGAGGGGAAAAGAGCAAGAGCATTGGTATACAGTGAAAAGTTTTTATATAAAAAATTCAGCAGTATTTCATCCAAACTGAACAAAAAACGAAAGCAAAGAGCAAAATCAAAGAAAAAATGTCCCATATATGAAATGTTCTATATGGCCACAGCCATGGAAGAAGTAGGAGACTATGCATCAGGAACAATAATATACCTAACAGAATGTAATTCATTTATATCACTTTAAATGTTTTGGCTTTATGTTCTGCATCAGAAATATTCAAGATACCAAATTGATGTTATAATCAGTATTTTCATCCAACTACAACTTTCTAAACATCACAGCATAGTCTCTAATCGAGAACTCACTCAAGGTGCATCTTTGACTACCACTCACTGACAATACAGAAGGAACAAATTGCAAGGCAAATGTGCCTGCTGTACTGGGTCAACTGCTGTGATGGTTGCTGTTTCTACTTTGCAGCTTGTTCCCTGCTGAAAGAATTATTCTGTGATTGTTGGCTTATCCTACGTTAGAAAAGGCAACATGGGTGATAATACAGAAAAGAGATCAAGAAATAGCAAGAGAAACCCAGAAAAATCAAAGGCTATGTGTGGGTGTGGAGGTAATACAGGCAAAGAAGAGAACAAACAGTAACTAATTAGTACACCCAGATGCTTTTCTTGTATTTTTTTTTATTAAACAAAAAATTATATGAATCCTCAAAGTCAGAAGTTGCTTATCCCATCTGTTTTTGATGGACTACTACAGATTGGGCAAGTAATTTATGGCACCAGATCCAAAGATAGCACATGTGCAGATTTTGAATGGCATGCAGGCAGGGCCAGCATGGAGCTGGAACCCGTGGCATCTTCAGAGAGGCATTTGTTTTCCACCCTGGCTCCAACTCCTGGCTCTCACTGAGTTCATTTGCTGGAATCCAGGAACGATTGTCAACAAGATACCTCCAATCAGCAGTCTCTCCAAATTATCAGCAAGTGTCTACTGGCAGACTCAATCTTACATTCTGAAATAATACCAGTCATGTAGAACACCCTTGAAAGGTTGCTAACATCCAAGTGAACCATAGTACTGTACAATGATGCCCCCACAAAACATCCAGGGAGAAAAGTCACGTGCTCATTCAGAACAAAGGAAAAGTGGTTGAAAAGAGAGGAAAATTACAATTTAAAAGGAAAAGATCTATTATTAAAGGGATCTACGGGGGAAAAGAAGGCTGTGGAGCTGTCAAGAAGGATGTTTTCAGCAATAACGATGTATCTCGGTTAGAAATATAATCTACCTGCATAGATTTTAATTGGAGAAAAATTACACAGATTACAGCAGTGTGCTCCCATTTTCATAAGCCATGTTCTGAAAGCTCAAGACAACAAATATTTAGGGAGAAGCTCTTTAATCTGAAATTTAATTTGCTCTGTTGCTAATATTCCAGACTATGTTTTGTGACACTCAGTTAAAAAGGAGTATGATTTGCTATAGAAGCAGTATCTGAATACAGCATAAAAGAACTGAAAATGGTTACTTGATTTAAAAGCAGCATTTCATTGTTAAACTTCTCACTCAAATACTGAAGATTGCAAATGTTAATTACCAAGGTTTTCTCATTTCTATCGAGAAAACTCTTTATTAGTTGCTGTTAAATGCTACCTGTATTCTTTGAGATCCTAAATCTAAGTGTCAATGATTTTGAACAGTCATTCCTCTTCGGCATAGAAATACAATGTTACCCTCTTCCGAGGCATGGTTTAGAAACATTGGGTAAAGCAAAATGTTTCTAGTCTTGGATACTTCTGTCCAAGCAGTGAACAAGCATAACCTACCACGATCTTTAACTTAGGCTTTCATTTTAGTGTCTCACACCATACTTGCAACAAAGAAAAACATTCCAGAAAGAAGATGTCCTGCTACCTTTCTTTGGGGAGGCTCAAAGAAATTCAAGTTCATAGGAACCATGAGAACAAAAGCAAGTTACGCGTTTTTAAAAAATAAAGATACATGGGCTACATTTAAAAAAAAGAAGTCTGAAGAACTTGTTTACAGAAAAGGCCTAATGATGTTCACGAAAGAAAGATGTTATTCTTATTTATACATATCTCCAGCAGCATGACTAGCTGGAACACAGGAATCCTAAACAGCATTCTGATCATCCTCTTTTCCAGTCTTTTAGACTGTTTCTATTCCATATTTATGCAGTTACAGCTGCAGAACAGAGAGACTGAGTAGAAACCAAACATCTGGTTCTTTCCAGTTCTGGATTTGCAAATACCTAAGTTGATTTTATAGAGCTCAGCTTAGGTTTTGTTGATTAATTATGCCCAAAGGTTCTCTCATCTGAACTCTAGAATTCTGGTAGTCTAAATCTCATTTCTAAAATTACGTTTTGCCAGCTAATGCTAATTTAATAATAGTTTAAATTTGAAAAGAAAATAATTTATCTACATGTACAGCATTTCTTTTAAATTATTTCATTTGACTTTTTCCATTGCAAGAAATTACCCAACTTTGATTTCAGGTTGTCTTGCAACAGTGTAACACAATCTACCCCAACAGAGAAAAAAAAGCTTAAATATATCTCTGCCCAAGTTTGCATTATTCTATTTTATCAAAGAAATTTTAAAAGTTTGTTCTTTCTTTTCAACATAGATTTCAGGGATACACCTGGAATATTACCCCAAGAGGAAAAAAAGAGGGAGGGGAAAAAAAAGTATATAGGTTAAGCATGATAATGAACCTAAAAATAAAAAGAACAAAAGCTAACTCGAGGATATCTGACACTGTAATGCATTCTACACTGAAACTAGAGAAACTTCCCAGAATAAAAAACACTTTGGAGGAAGGAATTAACACACAAGTTCTTGAAGCATTACCCATACATCCCCTGTTAGAACCAGGGCCATACCATTTTAGATACTATGTAAAGACACACAGGAAGACAAAACACCCTGCACTGAAACCTTACAATCTAAAAAAAGCCAGAGCACTCTGTCTTCAGAAGTTCCAAACCAAACCAACCCCAGCATTGTCATCAAAGAGAGAGGAAAGGCACTAGGGATGGGGTGTATAAACAGAGTATTATTTTAAGCTTTTGACTACCTTTGATGCAAGAAACTCAGAGCTATAAAGGTAAATGGGAGGGATCTAACAATGGTTATGTTAATGTCAAACAGTTTAATAAACACCTTTTTCACCAGCAGCCCAAGTATAAGCAACTTCTACTGGTTATTTTTAGCCTTGCTCCAAAGCAGGTCACCAACTGACCAGCTCCACAAACAATTCCAACAGCCCACCCGAAGGGATTTTGGTCATTACTGCATCAGTCAGTAGGCATCTGTCAAACTAAAGCCTGAAAAGCATCTTTGAAGAAGCTAACACGAACCTCTGTATAATGATTCCATATGAGAACAGAGAACGCAAAGATTAAAGCCCACTGGGACCAAGGAGAGTCGATTACATCCTTCCACTGAAGGAGTATTTTTGAAGATTTGTGTTCAGCCCCCCGGGAAACAGGTCTACATGAAACACTGAAGGTGACAGACCTCTGAAATCTGCTTGAATTCTTAGACACAATATGGTCACGATGGCAGGCAAATGACTCCCCAGACCCGAGAGCAACATAGCTACTACTTGTCTGCACAGAAACTCCTCTGGTCCAAAAAACTTCCTTAGTTACTGCCACTGGGCTAGTGGGCCATGCTTTTACTTTCTGTTGCAGTGGCAAGTCAAGCTGTGCCTAAAGCAAAATGCCATCTGGAAGCCAATATTCTCTTCTTTCAGGACTTGCACAGTCATGACTATTTCCTACAGAATGAAGCAAATGCAGAATTTTCACACAGGCACAAAGCCAGTGTTAAAGTAGGGTTGTGTTCAGTCAGAACAATGCACAGCATGATGGTATCAGCTATATCATAACCAAGTAGGACACAAATGCTCAACCCTCCTGTCAAATCTCTCAGAGAAGCCTACTACATCTTCATGAACCTGGGGTGTTTCAACACAAAACCAGTTGCAAGAATAAAGCCAAACAGTTTATAGA